GGCCGCCATCTTGGTTGGCAGTTAATTTGCATATTGCCCTGATTAGCCAATTGGAAGCATGTCAGAGGTACGGTTAATTACCATGTTTGTCTATTATTAGATAGGATAGACTAGAGGCTCAGTGCACGAAATTCATTTACTGGTAGGGTCCCTAGCAGCTGCCAGCTGCCAGCCGGGTACTCTCTCTCTTCCCCTGGCTGCCTGCCACCACTGGCCAGGGCCTCCCTCCCTTCCCCTGGCCGGCCCCGCCCCCTGGTCAAACTCCCAGATGAACTCCCAGTTGAGGGGACAATTTGCATACTATGCTTTTATTATATAGGAAAAGTGATAAACAAACTTTAAAGGATTTTTATAGATTTCCATACCACTGAGATCCCAAGTCAAAAGCAAATGTATTAGGATAGAAGTGAAGTACTTTGTACATGATACATTTGCCTCAGGTTTGTTTTATTTCCTGAATTATGAATGCATTTGTATTTTCTCTTAAACATTTAAAACATTTTAAAAACTTCAAAAAGGACAAATCACTCATGATTATAGTACCCAACATGCTAACTTTTCTTCACTTGTTTAATCGTTCTTCATATGAAGACATATCTTTGGCAGAACTAGTACTGTGGCATATAGATATGTTTCTGTATTGATTTTTATTTCAGGAACCATAAGCAATTTCTATGTTTTTACAGTTTCTAAAATTATTTTAGCTACATATATACAGTTGACGTCCAATAAATAAACTCTTCTCATGATGCTGAACATTTGATTTGTTTTCTCTTATACTTAATGCATTAAGCATTTTTCTGTTGAACTACACCGTTTGAATCAATTCCCAGGAGTGGGATTACTCTGCCATTCAGGGATATGAGAAGTTTTAAAGTTCTTGAAATTGCTTTTCTAAGAGTGTTGTCTGACCTTTAATGCTCCTAGCAATGCATACAAATACCAGTTTACTACAAACATCTCAGCAATGAGAAATAACTTTTTAAAATAATGTGTATTAATCATATATTATATACAAAATGGTACATCATTGTTGCATTCATTTGTATTCCTTTGATGGTCAGTAAAAACAAACTTTTCACATATTATTATTAATTATTATTTTTCCTCTAATTTGAATTGTCTGGACATACTTTTTGTTCATTTATCTGTTAGCTATTATATATGTTCTTTATACAGTTTGCATGTTATATGTTTATAAAAAACACTATTTGAAAATATCCTATTTGTAACATATTCTTTTCATTTCTGTCTTAGTTATATCATGTTTTATTGGCACATTTTAAAAATTAGGTTAATTTTAATTTACCAATTCTAATGTAACATTTCTAATAGTTTTATCTAGTCCTACATAGGATTTTTTTTTTCAAAACTGCATAATTCTGAGACCCCAGAAAAAGCCACTTGGTCACTTTCATAGTCCTGTAGAGATGATTGAGCTGGACTTTGTGTTTGTTTTATTCATAAAACATAAGAGAATTAGACTGGATGATTTTTTTAAAATATATTTTATTAATTTTTTACAGAGAGGAAGGGAGAGGGAGAAAGAGATAAAAACATCCATGCTGAGAGAGAATCATTGATCGGCTGCCTCCTACATGCCCCACACTGGGGATCGAGCCGACAACCCAGGCATGTGCCCTTGACCGAAATTGAACCCGGGACCATTCAGTCCGCAGGCCGACGCTCTCTCAACTGAGCCAAGCCAGCTAGGGCAATTCCATGATATTTTTTAAAAATCTGTGCATTATTTTATCTTTATCAAAATTGTATTAACCTTAGCCTTTCTTTCTATTACTTTTAAATAAAAATATAAAGTATCATATATAACATGAATGTTTCATAACATTTTAGGCCTTTGGAGTGTTTTGCAGGTATTCTATTTCTGTAAGTCATATTTTAGTGACAAAACTAATTAAAAACCATTTTTAATTGAAAACAGAACTATTGGATTCGATATGGAGGACGACAGGATGAGAATCGGTGAGTTCTCTATTCAGAACACCAACTGTTTAATTTTAAAATATTTTTCAAAGGTATAGAATTTCTTTTCCTTTTAAAAAAATTTTCAATTATGGTTGCCAGATGGGATGAGGTTTGGAGGAATGGGTGAAAGGAGGAAGGGATTAAGATGTATAAATTGCTAGTTATGAAAACAGTCACAGGGATGTAAAGTAAAGCATAGGAATATAGTCAATAATATTGTAATAACTATTTATGGTATCAGATGGGTATTAGACTTATCTGGGAGGATAACATCATAAGTTATATAAATGTCTAATCACTATGTTGTACACCTAAAACTAATATACTATTGTTTGTTAACTGTTTATTTTTAATTAAAAGAAATGCATAGAGTCAGACCTATTATAAGAAATTGAGTTCTATGAATAGGCAAAAAGATATAATTAAAAGAATTCCAAACTGGGAACTGGTCCCAGCTGTTCCTGTCACTTCTGTGTAACCTGGAGTAATTTATTTTCCTCTCTGGGTCTCATGTTTTTATTCAAATTAAAGAATTGAAACAGGTGATCTCTGAGGGTTAAACATTCTGTAAATCTATAGCAGAGCAAATTGGATTTTTAAAAATTTATTAGTATAATAAAGCTTGAAAGCTTTACTGCAAGCTAAAATACTAGGTGTTGCTAACTCAATTGGAAGGTAACTCATTTTTTGAAATGATAGAAGTCAAAAGTCAATTTACCTGTCATGAACAGTTCAAGGGATCATAGAATGTTGGTGTTACATGTCTGAGATCACATGGACAAGCCTATTCATTTTCAAATTTTAAAGCTGAGGGCCTGACAAGGCAAAGGACTCCTTTAGAGTCATACACCACCAGGGACAGCACATCCAGATCTTATTCAAAATCTTGTGGTCTTTCCCTAGACTTCAAAGATTCAACCTCGGGCTACCCTGGAATTATTACAAGAGATCCAAGAATGCATATGCACATTTGGTTGTGTTCAATATGTGTGCACATTTTGAAAGACCATAATGCTATTATTTGTGTGTTTGCAAAGTTTGACACAAATTTGTGTCTTCCTTCTTGAAATAGTTTAGAACCACTACATTAGGACGTGATTTATTTTAGTTCAATTATTGGTCAGTGATGAACACGCTATGTTCAAGACATATAATGTGACACTCTGAGCATTATATAGATGCATATGATAATTTTTTCCAGATTGGTTGAGATTCAGTCTTAAATTAAGGGGACTAAGTTATGGATACAATTAACTGTAGTAAAGATTGCTAAGAAGATTTACAGAAGTGAAATAGAACACACTCATGAAGGAATAGAAATGAACTTCCAGTAGCTCAGTTGTTTGGAGTGTTGTCCAGATACACAGGGTGTGTTCGTTCATTCTCTCTCTCTCTCTCTCTCTCTCTCTCTCTCCCCCTACAATCAATATATTAAAAAAAAAAGAACTGCATGAAGGTAGTGACATTTTGTTTGCTCTTGAAAGATAGGTAGACTTCTGTACAATGAGCATATAAAATATGGAGTCATAGAGTACCTGGGTAAAGTATCTTTGCTTTTGAACATCTTTATTCAATGAGAAATTGCCATTCCCACTTTTAAATAAGCAGGGTCCCTTCAGGAGTGAACGTGGAAGGAGCAGAAGTTCATGGATTGTCATCAGGGAAAAAACCATCACCCAAGATAGACCGAGACCTAAGAGAGGGTAAGTATCTATGCACTTTTACTCTTAGAAGGAGGGTAGGGGTAGAATGGGACTTGATCAGTTGTTATTCAGATCAAGGCAAAACGTGCTTTCTCTGGAACATGAAGAAAAGGACTAAGCTACTACAATTCATGAAATTCTGAAAGCAAGGCTTAAAAACAAGAACGTCTCAGATTTGTATATCATTACTTTTAGTTTCCAGCAAAAGGACTTCTGTTTCCTATAAAAATCTTGTGAGACAGGTAGGGGCTGTGTGATCATTGCCATTCTCAGTTCGGTACCTGAGGCTTAGAGAGATCACATGGCTCACTTTTGTCATACAGTGTGTGAGTAGTGCTGGATAGTATAGAATAGACTGTGTATCAGAAGAACTTGAAGAGACAGCTTTGTGGGATGTTAGATTAGTTCATCTAAGATGTTTGAGGCACATATATCTGAGATCAAGGCTATGTGAGAGAAGTAGAATTTAGGTTGAATTGACAGAGATGTTGAGAGAGCCATTCTAGTGGATAAAACAAATGGAACAAAGGCACAGAGAAGGAGAAAGCAGAGGATCATATGCTTACTTAATATCAACAATTTTTCAAGCAAATTCATGCGCAAAGCATTTTATTGTATTTATTTAAAATTTTTTATATGTGATATTATTTTGTATTAGTTTCAGGCGTACAGCATAGTGGTTAGACAATCACACACCCTATAATACCCACAATTCCTTTTATTTATTTTTATTTTTTAATATAATTTATTGATTTTTTACAGAGAGGGAAGGAGAGGGATAGAGAGTTAGAAACATCGATGAGAGAGAAACATCGATCAGCTGCCTCCAGCACACCCCCTACTGGGGATGTGTCCACAACCAAGGTACATGCCCTTGACCGGAATTGAACCTGGGACCCTTCAGTCCATAGGCCGACGCTCTATCCAGTGAGCCAAACCGGTTAGGGCCACAATTCCTTTTAATAATGGCAGCATCTCATGTGAGAAAAGTGTCCCTACTTCATAGACAAGAAAAACCAGACTCATAGACATTTAGTGATTTGTCCAAAGTCTCACAGCTCAGAATAGGTTGCAGGCATTTAAGCCCAGGCTTTTGAATCAAAACCCCATTCTCTCTTCTTCACCTGAGGATGGAACATAGAAGTTTCTAGATATCAAAAACAATCCAAATTAAATAATTTTGCAGAAACTCTCATGGAGAGGAAGTACAGTACTACTTTCCCAGAAAGAAGCTTGTCAGCACATTCTTCTAGCAAGCAGTGGTCGGCAAACTCATTAGTCAACAGAGCCAAATATCAACAGTACAACGATTGAAATTTCTTTTGAGAGCCAAATTTTTTAAACTTAAACTATATAGGTAGGTACATTGTTATTAACTTAATTAGGGTACTCCTAAAGCTTAGGAAGAGCCACACTCAAGGGGCCAAAGAGCCACATGTGGCTCGTGAGCCGCAGTTTGCTGACCACGGTTCTAGCTGATTTGAAAACTACTGGCTCTCTACAGCTCATATTTCCCAGCCCTTTCCTTCCTTAGTTTCCAAGTCAATTTGAGGTAGTAAACAGGATAATATGATCATCTAATCTGACCTGGACCTTAATTTGTAGCCACAAAGCCCAAGCTGTTTCATAAGTGCTTCATGGTCAGCCAGAGTTCATGCTGCTATTTAAGCCAAGAAGTTGCCCAGGAAGTACATGACAATAAGCCAGAACTTTGCTGTAAAGGTTTGGGAAACTCCAGAAGAGTTGCCAAATTTGACACAAATTTCAAAGCATTATTTTTCTGCCTACCCAGGAATCTGATGTCCAGCAACTGATGAGGAGGATTAATAGGAAGAGTTGAATAGAAGACAACACAGGATGGAGAAAGATCATGATTGGCTGGGTTACCAAATTCTATCATTTCTGCTTAATTTTCTTAGTTGAATTAGGCCAACGGACCTTACAATGTTCTCTGGGAATCCACTGAAAGCTTTGGGTGCAGTCACTAGAGACCTAAGTAGTGTCTAAATTAAGAACAGTGGTAGACAGGGGCAAAGTTCCCAACCAGAAAACACTTTCCTATCGTAGCCTGGCTGAAAGCAGGTGTCAGGCAGACAAGAAAGGATGCGTGCTTTACAGAGTAGAATGTGTTTCAGCTTTTCTCATTTTCCACAAAGACATTGTCATCTACTCTGGTTACCTAACAGTAGTTAGTCATATTCATATTGGACAGATCCCAAGTATTAAGATGGGAGTGGCCCAGGGTGACTGTAGTCCATGGAATATACATGTCAACTTCTAAAAAACATCTGTCACTTATCTATTCTCCTTTCAGTCATCAGTTTTCCAAAAGTCCTGCTTGATAATAATCCCAGAGCCAGTGGGGTATAGTACAACTAACTTTGGACTTGGAATCAGGAGACCAGGTTTCCTGGATTGCCTCAGTCTTATGTGCTCTGAAGTGATGGATAACTAGAGACTCAATCTCCCAGGGCCCTATGCTCCCCATCTGTACAACAAGGATAGCCACTGTTGGAGAGGATGAATGTGAAGTTTTTGGTAAACTTTAAAGGGTTGTGCTCATATAAGGGCTTGTTAGTCAGCATATCCCTTTCATGCCTTTATGACATTGAGATATTTACGGCAAAATGATTCTTCTTGCTATGAGCCACAGACATTGAGCACGAGGGGTGTTTTCCTGGATGATCCCTGCTTATTGCAAATGGAGAGTTGGAGCCAGGCACATACTTTATGAATGAGAGAATTAAGTTGTTGAAATCCCTTTGGGCTGTGGTTAAGAGTTGGCTGAAACTATCAAATCAGGCCCCAGGAACCACAACTTACTGGACTACTTTTTTATTTTATTTTAATGTTTTCCTCTGTCTGATGTGCTACTAGTCATTTGTAGGCTGGTCGGCTTGCATTTTTGAATGGCAGGATTTCTTTTTTTATTTTCTTTTTTTCCCTTTTGGTTAGTGAGTGGGTAGTTAGTTGTTTTTTGGTTAAATGTATGTGTGAGAAACCTCTGAATAAAACTGCATGGTGGTGACAGTGTCAGCTGCATATAAGGCAGTTTTCTAGTACAGATTCTGTCTGAACCTGCAGGGTTTACCAGTGATGGCGAACCTATGACACGCGTGTCAGAGGTCACACGTGAACTCATTTTTTTTGGTTGATTTTTCTTTGTTAAATGGCATTTAAATATATAAAATAAATATCAAAAATATAAATCTTTGTTTTACTATGGTTGCATATATCAAAAAATTTCTATATGTGACACGGTACCAGAGTTAAGTTAGGGTTTTTCAAAATGCTGACACGCCGAGCTCAAAAGGTTCGCCATCACTGGACTTTAGGCATTTAAGACTCCATTTGCATTCTGCTCCTTCACTTGATCTATGTTGTTACTTATAGCATTGTTGGGGGAATTGTCAATATCTCAGTAGCTTTCTTTTATCTATCTATTTATTAATCCTTACATGTTTTTATTGGTTTTTAGAGAGAGAAGAAGAAAGAGAAAAACATCTATGTGAGAGAGAAACATCTATGAGTTGCCTCCTCTATGAGTCCTGACCAGAAATCGAACCCACAACCTTTTGGTGCATGGGACGATGCACTGAACAACTGAGCCACCCAGCCAGGGCTCAGTAGCTCTCTTTTAAATATACTCCATTATGCTTATTAAGATGACTCAGTTAGAATTAATACAATATACTAGTCATATATTACTAATTCAGTAATAATCATCATAGTAATAGTAAATACTTATATGGAGCTTAAGAATAGTAGGCATTTTTCTAAGTGTTTTATTTAGTTTTAATAACTTTTAAAGTTATACTTTTAAAATAAGTCAAATTATATTTAAAGTAATACACTCTTACTATAGAAAACAAGATAAACATGGCAAAGTACAAACCAACCTAATTCACTCAACTCTTGGTCTGTCTTCCATTCCTAATTAGAAAATGCTTTTAGTGAACCTATAAGTATCTTGTCTTTCTTGTTGCAAGAAAATGTTTTTATATTTCTAAATGGGAGTGGAATATGCAGTTGACTTTTCCAAATATTTGAGGGATAGCCTCAATTTGGCTATAAATCTCACTCAACTATATAGATTAGAGTAACCTTCCCCAAGCAAACTGTGTTTTATTTTAAGAAGTTCCATGATGGGAGACAAAGTCTACTGTTGTTGATTTTTATTGCTATGAAAAATATTAGCTCAAATATAGCAGCTTCCAATAACATACATTTACTATTTCTCAGTTTCTTGGGGTCAGGAGTCTGGGGATAACTTAGCTAGGGTCTATTGCTTGAAGACCTTTATAAGCTGGCATCTTTTCTAAGGCTTGACTGAGGAACTATTTTCTCCCAAGTTCAGATGACAGAATTTGGAACTTAAAAGTTTATTTGACTGTGGTTCTCAGTTCCTAGTTGTTGTATTTTTTTGGTTGTTTGTTTGTTTTGTTTTGTTTAAACATATTTTTATTGATTTCAGAGAGGAAAGGAGTGGGAGATAGAAACATCAATGATAAGAAAGAATCATTGATTGGCTGTCTCCTGCACGCCCCCCACTGGGGATTGAGCCCACAACCCGGGCATATGCCCTTGACCAAAATCGAACCTGGGACCCTTCAGTCTGCAGGCCAACGCTCTATCCACTCAGCCAAACCAGTTAGGGCCCTAGTTGATTTTTGGCTAGAGGAACTCATCAATTTTTTGCCATATGAGCCTGTCCAATACAGTCACTTGCTGCATCAGATTGCAAGCTGAGAAGGTAATAGACTGAGTCAGCTAGCAAGATAGAAGTTGTAATCTATCACTTTTTCCATATTCTATTGGTTACAAGCAAATCCAAGCCCTGCCCACACTTGAGGGAAACAAATTACACAGGCCTATGAACACCAGGAGGCAGTGATCATTAGGGTTCATCTTGGAGTCTCTCTGCCATAAGAAGGAAGGAAGGAAGGAAGGAAGGAAGGAAGGAAGGAAGGAAGGAAGGAAGGAAGGAAGGAAGGAAGGAAGGGAGGATATTGTGCCCAATTAAGGGTGAGCACTACTACATATTGTATTAATACTTAGGATATTCATAATGCATGCTCTAAAATGTCCTCTTAAATTTGGTTTAGCTCAGTACTTCCCAAACACATTTGATCAAGAAACTACTTTTCATGCTCGCTTCGGCAACACATATATTGTATAAGTACCGCGCGCTAACCGATTGCGCCACTGGAGCTCCTAGGCAACACATATATTAAAATTGAAATGATACAGAGATTAGTGTGGCCCTGCGCAAGGATGGCACACAAATTTGTGAAGCGTTTCATATTAAAAGCAAACAAACAAACAAAAAGAAACTATTTTTTCATCAAAAGCTTTTCTGTAGAAAAAAGTTTGAGAAACATTGAACTGTAGAAAAAAATATATTTTTATTTTTTTCTATTCACCCAAAAAAATTGTACTGAAACTGGGAGCTTGTGCATATATTCCTGAAATCCAAGAAATTCTATAATAATAAAGTTTGATGACAATTTAAAAATATTAAGAGGGACAACTAGTGGGACATCTGAATAACCACCTTATAGCCAAGTACTCCCATGAGATTTTACACCTCCATGGTATGGGTGCAGTTACCATCACATTGGTAGCAGTTAATAATATTCAATGATTGAAGACTAACAAGAAATAAAATAGTACAAATTTATAAATAATGTATGAGGACCAGTTGAAGACCAACATTTATCATGGTACACTAAGATTTTGTCGTAATTTCAATAGAGAAAAGTTGTGGTAGAATAAATGAGTTATTACACACCAAAAGTACTAGAAGAACGTTGCCTCAAAGAACCTTGACCAGATCAGTTAGTAGTATATTCATGAGGAATGTAGTTTTTTTGTTTCTGTAAAATAACATTGATCATTTCATTACTATAGCTCATTTTAATATATTTGGTTTATGGTCTTGCTTTTACTTAATCTTGTAAATTAGTTTTCTGTATTATGAAACCATGAAAATAAATACTGTTTTCATCATTTTATAATTGCAAATATGGAAATGAAATTACAGTATAAATAATTTGTCAGCACCATATTACTTAGGGAACTTTTTGTTTTAGCAGATAACCATATATTACTCAAGATTAAGAAATACTACCTCATTATTTAAAGTAAAGTCTTGATTTGTTTTGGGTTTAGTTGGGTTCCTAAGTGTCAATCCAGGATCTTCTGTGAATGGCAGACAATTCCTTTAATTGTAGGCTATAGTGATTCTTTTATCCTAACTAGATTAATAAACACTTAGTGCTGCTCCCTAATTTGACTAATCTATTTTAAAGTGATGTAGTGAACATCAATTGTCTCTTCTCCCTTCAACTGACAAGATTTAGACCTGCATGTTCAAGACCATTGCTTGATCACCTTGGGAGGAAAGGAGGAGTTGTGCCCTCCCCACCACTCCCTCTGGGGCGAGTTATTGTTATTGACAGATACATGTCATGTCCCTTAGGAGTACTGTAAAGAGTAGAAAAACAGTGTTTTTCTTTTCTGTTCACTTTTCTGGTTCGAATCCAGATGGTTACACACGGTTACATTTGAAGATTTCCTCACAGTCAGAGGTTCTGTCCTTTAATCCTATTTTCTGTGAGGAAAAGATCTTGTCAGATCTAGATTTTATCATTTCACCACCTAAACATAGCCCAAATGCGTCATTCTCTGAAGAGCCTGTGTGGGGCTAATTTCATAAAGTTGTGGACCCTACCCAGGGAGAGAGAGGTGCCTGCAGGAAACCATCCGATGCAAAGGCAGTGATATAATGATATGTCCATAGAGCAGAGTACAATAAATATTCCAAAAGCAAAACCATATAGAGCAGCGGTTCTCAACCTGTGGGTCGCAACCCCTTTGGGGTCGAACAACCCTTCCACAGGGGGCGCCTAAGTCCATCGGAAAACACATATATAATTACATATTGTTTTTGTGATTAATCACTATGCTTTAATTATATTCAATTTGTAACAATGAAATTGGGGGTCACAACATGAGGAACTGCATTAAAGGGTCGCGGCATTAGGAAGGTTGAGAACCACTGATATAGAGTCAGGTAGTGGTGGAAAGAAGACTTGGAAGGAGTCAGGTGACTTGGGTGTGACTGTACTTACTGGTGGTGCATTTACTACCTGGATTTCCTGGTGAAGGCATTGCTCTATATACCCATGAAACTGATGTTTATGTCACGCCTGGGGACGAGGCATGTCATGGAGTAATTGCACATGATGTTATAACAATGGTAGGAACCAAAAGGCTGTGGAGCAGGGTGGGTCCAGTTGTGGAGAGAATCCTGGAAAGTCTTCCTAGAGGAGAATCCTGTGAGATGCCCAGTCTGCTTTGCTGGATTGTCACTGGAAACAAATAAAAAGATATTTTATCAAATACAAGATACTATGCAAATATAATATATCATCATGACATTTTGGAAAAGCCTGGTAGTCACACAGCTGCCCTTTTCTTGAATCCACATTGTGTTTATCAGATTCCGAATTTGTCATTTGTCATAGCAGTCCTAAATATTCATGAGGATACTGGCTCTCCTCAACTGCACATTGCTAGCTGGTGGGTGTTCTGTGCTTCCCCTTGGTGACAGAGGTAACAGAGAAGACAATGTGCTCTGTCCCTTCAGGTGGCCCTCTGATCTACGAAAACATCACCTTCGTCTACAACTCAGAGCAGCTGAACGGGACTCAGCGGGTTCTCCTGGATAACGTCCTGTCGGAAGATCAGTGCCGGGAGCTGCACAGCGTGGCCAGTGTGAGGACCCCTGGGAGGGCGGGGCCTGACTATGCTGGCCTGCTGCGAGCCTGCAAGTGCTTTGGTTCTGGTCTCACCTGGAGCCAGAGAACCAGGCCAGCCATGTCACTTTCTCTGGGAGAGGGACATTGATTGTAGAGGCACTTTCATAGCCTTTGGATTGAGATGACGTTAGTTTTGTCCAGATCTGAATATGGCTAGTGGATCTGGAATAGTTAGCAGCTAAATTCCCAGGACAGACATCATCCAGCATGGGCCCTGTCTACCATATAAAGTCACTGAGAAATCTCTTTATTTTAATCAACAATAACCAACATATTAATCATTTCTAGTCTACATATCTCTACAAAAAGTGGTGGTGTTTTATAATAAAAATAGAGTGTAAAAGTTAAATAAATACTAGCATATCCCTTCTGCTTGGAAAAATGAATGATACCAGGATCCTGGAACAAAATGGGGATGACTTTGGTTCTTAGCTTCCTGGAAATCAAGGCAGAAAGGAAGACCTGATGCATTCAGAGTTATCATTAAGAAAACATCTTCTTGTATTGTACTTCTAGGGAATCATGATTGTTGGTGATGGATACAGAGGGAAAACTTCACCTCATACACCCAATGAAAAGTTTGAAGGCGCAACTGTCCTGAAAGCACTCAAAGTAAAGTCTTAACTTGTTTGGGGTGTGGGTTCCTAAGTGTTAATCCAGGACCTTCTGTGAATGGCAGACACAGGAAATAAAAGAGCTTAGAATACAGTTTTATCAGGACATTTGAAGGGAGCAAGTATGAAATGGCACCTGCATCGCATTAAATCCTTCTTCATTTATCTATTTATCATCTATTTGTCAAACTTGATCTTTTCTAAATTTGTATCTGACTAATAACATACAGCTCCCATCCCCCCTTGCCACCCCTTTCTCAAGGAGCTCATGGTCCAATGGTGAAAACATACCCAAACAAGTAATCATTCCATATTTTAAGAAATGTTGTTAGAGAGGAATGAGGAGAGTGTTAGGAGAGGAAAGAGAGTGATTAGCTCTTCATGTTCTCTCTGTGATTAGGAAGCCTCATTTCAATGGTTCATTTTCCTAACCCAAATCCACAAGCAGGATGTGAGGGCGATCTGGCTGTGACATCTGTCACCCCATTGATCGCCAGGGTTGATTCGGCTGATCTGGCTGGCTAGGCGGGTGTCCCCCTCTTCCCTCACCAATCCATGTGCGTCCCTCCCGAAGCTGCGGCTCGGTCGAAGAGGACGACCTTCCCCCCCGAGGAGAGGACCGGTCTTCGGTCAAGGGTATACGAGTAGCTGCGCTCCCCTGCTAGAACCTCCAAACAAATCCACAAGCATGTGGTAGTATTCCCACTAACCAATGCAGAGATGACCATTGTACCTTGGCTGACTGAAACCGAGCATCTGTTTTTCTCCAGCTCTCCAATCAACCCCATGGTATCTAACGTTCTCCTTTTTCCTCAGTTTGGTTATGAAGGCCGAGTCCCACTGAAGAGTGCACGCCTGTTTTATGACATCAGCGAGAAGGCTCGAAAGATTGTAGAATCCTATTTCATGCTGAACTCAACCCTGTATTTTTCCTATACGCACATGGTCTGCCGAACAGCCCTGTCTGGTGAGATTTCAGAGTCTGAACTTGTTCCTTCTACCCACAGAGAGATGAGAAACAAAGCAATGCTCAACAAAAATCCATTACAAATGATTTAGGAGAGTTCTAAATTTCCAAAAACAAAAGAAACTTGATAGCTTTTATTTTCCCTTCCCTCTTTTTCTCCTTTTTTATCCCCTAAAGTACCAGCAGACCATAACTGTACCTTTTCCCCCATTTAAATCAACTTCTCCTACTTTCTTGTTGCACAGAAAAATGCTTTTCTGTTCTAGGTTTTACTTTTCAGGGAACTAGAAACCTGGAAATTAGTCTCCTATTACATCCATAAGCATTGAGTGGTAGTGTAGAAGATGAAGGGATTGTTGAAATAAATATTCTTAAAAAGTCAGAGACCCCCTCACAACCTGCTGTCATTATTCTCTAGACCTTCCCTTCCACCCCTCCAGAGTAGGAGGGAATGGATAATGTCACAGGGCAAGACTTTTACACTTGGGTCAGTTCAATTGAATCAAATCTTTTTTTTTTTACATTTTTATTTCATCCTCCTCCTATTACTGCTCCCCATGAAGTACAACCTGTGAAATGCATGGAATGTCTATTTATAGCAGATAGCTTCTATAGCTGTAGCAGCAGGTGTGACTTGCTCACAGTTTTACATCAGGTTCATATCAAAGCAGGGCCAAAGTAGAGTCTCTTGACTGCTTGCCCAGTGTTCCTTCATCTGTTGTGTTCAGCTTTCTGTATCTTCAGATTTACAAGGGCACCAGCAATGGGAGAAGGCAGTCTGATGGTCACTTTTGCTGTAGGAGGTTAACACCCTCCTTTCATTCTTCCCTGTTCCCTCTTCTGGCAGGTCAACAGGATAGAAGAAATGACCTCAGTCATCCCATCCATGCTGACAACTGCCTGTTGGATCCAGAGGCCAATGAATGTTGGAAGGAGCCTCCTGCTTACACATTCCGGGATTATAGGTAGAGCCAGCACCTGCTGCAAAGCCAAGCTTTTGTCCAACAGTTATCAAAAACCCGTGGAAACTAGAAAGCTGATCTTTTTTGCTTGTCATCACATTCAACGCTAGGAATCAGAGAGTCTCAAATAATCTTTTGAAGCAGCTGTCACAATTGAGAAGTGACTTCATCTCATATTTTAATCTTAAAAATGCATGCATGTTTTTCATACCCTATTCCACAAAATGTCCATTTTGTTT